CTTGTATATCCTTCCTTCCTTTCTGCTCTTTCGTAAACTTACTCAACCGCCCGGCGTTATACAAGCTGTTACATTATAACAAGCCCCCCTATATAACCGTCTACCGATATCGTCTTTCTTAATAAAGAACAGACGTATAAATGCACACACCAAAAACAGAAATACAAAATCTCCACCTACGAACGATCGAGAGAAACCGGAAAACAAAGATACCATCGAATTTATCTGTTCAACGTGAAAAATTATCAACGAGAAAAGTGCATCGTCGGTTTTCTTCGTTCGGAGAGGCACGGTGACGTGGAAGCGGCGCGCACACGCACAGCCGGGTGAAATTATACAGAAATCAATTGGAACGCGTATCTTTTCCGGATTCGCAAATCGACGGGAAGAATCGATAACGGGAGAAGACGTTGGCCGAGGTGGTTCCGGTGGATGCGCTTTGCTATCGAGTCCAGCATCCTTTTCTAAACATTTTCGATACGCCTCCTCCACCCCTTTCACATTCTACCCGGGTGTGTTTCTTTTTAACCCTCCTGCACAACACCATAGCCCTCTCTCTGTGTCTGCCATTTTTCTTTCTTTCTCCTCGTTGGCAATAAACGCGACCGATCCAGGTAGATTGCTGCCGTAGCAAAGGAGATACGTAAACGGATAGAGAAATGGATAAAGATAGAACGGGCCGGGGGTGTGCGACTGAGAACGACGTGTACACACAGATACACACCGAGAGGATGGAGAGAGAGAGTGGGTGGTCGAGAGAGGGTGGACGGGGGTGAATGAAAGAGAGAGATGAGAGAGCGAATGGGACTTGGGTGAAAAGGAAGCAGAGTAGGGGCCGGGCAGAGGCGGAGGAGCTCAATCAATAAAATGTCCCGCAGAAACGTTTTCAGCTCTTTACCACGCCGTGGCAAACTCCTCTCCATGCTTCGCTGTCGCTTTCCACCGGTCGTTTCAGCCCGGGGTCTGTTCCACTGCGCGTTTCCTCCTTGTATTCCCGGTTAAACGTTTTACTTCGCTGAAAAGTTGTCCAAGTTCCGCTTCTCGCCACCTTGCCGAGTTACATCGGTCCTCGATGTTGTGCACCGGAGCGAGAAGCGAGCAAGGGGCGCGCTTTGGAAGATTATTAACGAGCCACCCCTTTTGTCGATGTACTTAGTCCTAGATTCTTTCCAGGGTGAAATTGTTGTTTTTAACGAGGGGAGGTTTGTCGAGAGGGAAGTTTCGTGACTTTCGAGAGAATTTGTTTGTTGGTACGAAATTTAATCGATGTACAGATTTCTTGACGACTGTTAGACGTAGAATCGTTTGGGAATTTAGCAGTAATTATGTCTTGCGCGGGAAATATTTTCTTGGCAGAATGTACGATCTACGTGATCTAGCGGAACGAGTAATTGTTCCTTCGTAATTTCTGTGCGATTACTACCGTTTTGCTCTCAATCGCAACGCGACACCGTTGGTATTTTGTTTGTTTTTTTTTTTACGATTTATAAGAAAGTGCGTTTGTCAAGAATATATATCCTCGGTCGGCACTTAAGCCGACACGCATTCATATTTAAACGAACTGCAACGCATACACACAGTCTGCCAAGAAAGTTTCCTACGATCTCATCATTGACCGAAGCTCGTGCTTATAGTTTCCAATCTTAATACGCAGAAGCAAGTTGTCCAGCGGCTGCGCAAAGAGGTCGAAACGTTCAAAGCGGAGAATGCGAACGGGGCGAAAGTTTCCATCGCGTCGCTCCTCGGTTTGAACAACAATAATCATATTACGAATAACAATGAGACGAAACTTAAGAAGGTCGGCAATAACTTCACTACGAAGAGCTCGAAAGAGGACTACGAGGAGATTGTTCGAAACGGGGATGTTTCCTCGCCTATGCAAGAGTCCGCACGAACCAAGTGAGTATTTTGTTTTGAATCGTCGGAACTGTTCTGGCTTCGAAACGTTTGCCGGAGTTGATAATGCATGTCCGTTTCGTAGTGACAATCTTTTATCACGATCTCGTTGGTTCACAGGGAACGGCCCAGTTCGGTGGAAACGATTTCCGGCGAGGATGACGTTATCGAGGTCTCCATGGATGAGAATTCTAACGAAAAATCTGAGAAAGAAGAACCGGAGAAAGAGAGCAAAATCGAGTCGACTGAAAAACTTCATTTCCTGAGCGCCCTTGGACTAATTACCACTGCAACGTGTGCCGAATTGCAAAATAAAAGGGCTGAGAGGAAACGTCGCAGCACCGCTAATCCGCAATTTGTTTACTCCAGCCTTGAAGTGCCAACGGTAAATAGGAGGAAACTGTATTTTAGTTTACATATTGTAATACGTGTATGGTTATCTAACGTGTGTTTTGTACGTTTTACTCGTTTTAGAAACGAAAGAGACACTCGTACCTGCAATCTGGAAATGTTCCGCAAACTCGACAAACGACCGCTCGTATGAATGGACCATCGCCGCCTCCGGTAAAAGTTGTACCACCGAAATCTACGTCACCGCCGACGTCGAGAACGGTGATGAAATCGTTGATTCCGGTTCAGAAGTCTACTACGCGGCCGAACATTCTTCGAAATGTAACAGAGAGTAAAGTTTTCCCGAATAAGAGCAAGATTGAAAACGGACCCAGTCAGATACAATTGCCCTTGTCAACCGTGAAGTCTGTTCATTCGATTGGTAACAAAGCGGTTCACATACCAGGCTTACCATCTAGTCTGACTATCGAGAGGATCAGCAGTGATTCAGCAGTCTGTATAAGTTGTAGGAACCCAGGTACGTGTGATATGTTACGTTGTATTATTAACGCGTAGTAATTCATTATGTAAATGGAAAAATGTGTCGGTGAATCGCAAGTGCTGATAAAAATTGTTCTTTTGTAACACAGGTACGCTGACGGTATGCGAAAATTGTGCATCAAATTATCACGTGTCTTGTCACTCCATGTCACCGGCGCCATCACGAATATGCCCCAAGTGCGCGTTGATAGAGGAGGAAGAGATCGAGGACGCAGATGAGGTGGAGGAGGAAGACGAAGGAGGACGTCCGTCGTTTAAGAAGGACGAAGAATTCGGTAAATCGTCCTTGGTTTTACAGAAGATTTCCACCTGTAGTAACGTTGATCGTGTGATTGACAAAAAAGTTCTTGTTTCCTGCAGACACTAGCTTTTATGAATGTTCGTGGCACGCTTATCTCATTTCGCGGCGGCACCGTCCGGGATCATTCGATGTATTGTGATGTTTTCTTAATGATAAACGGCAGAAAAGAAAGTAGAGAGGTACTTTTGGTTATACTTGATAACCAGAAGAGTTAGCGTGTACATTTTCATGTACGTGGCAAACAATATTCCGCGTGAGAAATACGAAGCAAAAGAGAGAGAGAAAAAAAAAAGAAACGTACTTGTAGATAATGCAGACAAGTTGTATGAAAGAGAAGAGCAGGAAATTGTGTAACATGGGTCCACAATTTCTAGATTTAACGTGCAACGAGGTATCGCAGCGTTGCCGCAGACTTTATTGAGCGTAAGCACACAGAGAGAATAAACGAGAGAGCAGCCTGCCGGAAGAAGTGTCGCGAGTGAGACCGGCTCCTCGAATACAGCAGAAGAATTTGCAATTAAGAAGAACTTTTTGGTCGATCGTCAGTAATAGGGCACAAAAAAGCAACGTGTATTGAACGCGAAATATCTTGCAGAGGAGAAAGAGAGAGAAAGATATGAGCTGCGCAAGCGAAACTCGGATCTGAGATTGCAGGTTTACGAGTTGGAAAAACGCTCACAACTACTCGGCCAGTCCCTTCAGGTTCGTCCTGTGGCCTGCGTAGAAAAAAATTCACAAATTTTTTTTCATTTGGAATGCTGTTCAGTTAATGAAATTATACGCAAACATTTTCCATCTTTTGTTTTTTCATCAGTGAGAACCTGCAAGATCTCTACGTTTTTCTTGTTCATTTTCAATATTATTTTCGAAAGACATGTCGATTCTTTTATAGAGTAAACAATTTTTTGGTTTATAAGAAAATCGATTTGTCCGATGTTATCAATTTTTGTTAGCGTTATTGCTGTAGAATTCACACGTACACAGATTAGATCCTACTGTTAACAATAGATCAGTCGTTACATTTTATTAAACGTACCATTTGTCTACAGCAATAACTTTATACGTTGATCCGTGAAAGTACGGAATGCACGATGCTTCCTCCACGTACAGTTCAAACTTCAGTGTTTTGTAAAGAACAATAGTTTCAGTGTTTCATCTTTACGTCTTAAAGTTCAATTATGTATTGCTTATGTATATCGTCTTAGTGAACTTAGTTAATTGTCGAATACAATACACAAAAATAGATTCGTGTATGAGAAACGTTAAAAATTAGCGTGTGTGTAAGTATTACGTTATAGGATCGGGGAATATTTCAAATCGATTCGTTGAATTACGTTCCAAGAGCATGTGCATCTTTGTCCCGATATTGTCAGATATATAGCAGATCGACGTGAATTCTAAGTTTCGATATTTTTTTCACAATGGTAACGACACGTATAAGTAATTGTTTGATTTTTCTTTCTACAGCTACAGCAGCGCACGCGCCAGGAATTATTAGGAAAACAAGAGAAGACGCAGAGATCTATAAAACGACTTGTGGACTTCATAAAACTGATGCAGCTCAGAAAAAGCGGGGGTTCTCAACATCAATTGGCATCGGTCAACTTCCTTCCTCAACCTTCCTCATCCCAATCTCCTCAAGCAGCGTCTCTGCATCAACCATCAACCAGTCGGACGTCGGGTCTTCTGCAACTCTCACTAGTGAGCGAGAAAGTTCCGTGCCCTACTCCTCCATCGTCCTCAATCAGCTGCCCCGATCGAGCCTCGCCTATGTCGACAGGGCAGAACCGCAAGTGTCCTACGCCTATCAGCTACCAGTCACTAGTGTTCAATCGGAAAAGCATCAATCATACCTTATCGTCAAAAAAATTACCGAACCAGCCAGAAGAGCAAGTCAGTCTTCCGAAGACCAAAGTCACGCTACAGTGCTCAACTATAAACTGCCAACCACATCAGGCTACAATTCTCGCGTTCAGACCGAAATCTCTGTCGCCCACTCCTCTATGCTCATTGGCAAGCAGTTGCCCGACACCCTCAGTCGTAACCGTAAAAAACAAACAAACCGCGCAGTACCCGCCCTCAACCGTATCATCGATACAGAGAATCTCTCCATCACGGCCGAGTATCAATTGGAACGAGCGACTATCAACGGTCGAAAGTCTAGGGCCAGGCAGCCAAGAAACAAATTCGGTATCAATCAGCTGCGATCTGCTAGAGCCACCGAAATCCTATTGCCTTCCTACGATAGTACAGAATCCGATAAACAGTTACAAATTGCAAAGTCTCCCGAGCCAGAGGAAACAACCCTGTTCGGTGGTCGTCCAAAGTACAGGCCAAGAACCGGTGGTCTTCTCCACTCATTGTTCTCAGGCCATAACAAGTCCTATATCCTCACCGATAATTCTCGAGAACCACGAGACATTGGCCCAAATAACAAAGATTCCTCAATCACCCGGCAACAGTTGTATCATCAAAGCTACCAGCTGGAGTCAGGCGAACGAAACGAGCCTACGGTCCAGTTGCAACGTGGTGCCCTCACAAAATTCTTCGAGCACGTGAAATTGGAAGAAGCGCATATACCAGCGCCATCTAGAGCAAAGCTAGTATACAAAAGCGGTACTACTTCCGATAGGAATCAACTTGAAGTCACTGAAGTCGCGGACGAGGACACAAATAGTAACGAGTATGTCACGAAGACGCCCTTGTCATCCGGTAACGTCGAAGGTGACTTCGCCGATCGAGAGGTCAAACAGAGCAATTGGTTCACGAGCAAGATTCTAATGAAGAAAGGAGGGCACAAGAACGATAACACGGCTAAGAGTGTGGAATCGCTTGATTCCGTTTCGAATACGACGACAAGATCGAACGACTTTATTACGTACGAACGTAAACATGGTAATACGTATGTGAGAGTCGATCGTGAACCTGACGACGATGAGGAAGATCATTCGTTGACCCGTACGTTTCAAGCTGACGTGACTTATACGAGGCGTATCGGATCACTGACGGATATTGTATCGGAAAAACGGAGGGATCGGCAGCAAGACTCAGCATCTCTGTGTAACGCACAAAGCAATTTCTTGGAGCTTCGTAACGAGGTCTCAGTTCCTGATGATAAGGCTGATTCCGAGAGACAAGACTTATCCAGTGGCAGACGTTCGACCAGCACCAGCAGCAGAAGCAGCACTAGCGACAGCGATACTCCGGAACAAGCGATGAACGACTCAATTAAGTACTCACGACGACGATTATCCGGAAACGAATACAAGGAACGTCTGGGCATTAACGCTGTATCTCCGGAGAGTATGCAAGTGCTCGAACAATTCGAGTCAGCTATGCTGGAAACTGGTTGTAGCAATGCTGCCACTTGCTAGAGTTAGTTAGACTAGAATGCGGTATTAACGTGCTGATTATGCTCATTGCTGATTTTTTTTTT